TTTGCAATGCACATGATCTTCTTTCTGTGATTTCCATATATTACCATATTCATAACACTGTGAGATGAAAGACACTCCACTTACTCTCTAACCGGAACATAAAAAAGAAATTAAAACACTGGCAAGCACTTTGTCTTCAGTTTGTTGGGCATATATGAGAATAGAGCTTCCCACCCATTTATGTAAATGAAATTCTGACAGTTTAGCAGACTAAGTTGTAGCAAAGATGACAGCAGCCTGTCTATTAATAAACACCTAACATACTAACAAATGCTACTACTTTCCGCTTTTTCTAAATCCTCATTCTGGGGAAAAAATGTGCTATGCTGGCAAAGCTTATATAAATAGCATCTAGGTTCTTAGGGTAATTTAACAAGTAGGGCTTGCAATGTTTTTCTCCTGCAGAATGTAAACAAAAGGAAAAAGCTGTATACTGATTTGACCTTATGGATTTGGTTACATAAATAACCCATCTTTCACTTAGGTGCTAAAGGTAGTATACATAAGAGTTCCTGCTCCTTCAGAAGAAAAAACCCTATTTGGTTGACAGATCCTTAAGTGAGCCAGAATCACCCAGTGAGCTCTATGATAAAATGGAGAATTCAAGATGGGCCTCCTTGCTCTATCATCTAACTCTTTCACCATACAGGCCGCCTTTACAAAGTTACTTTCTATATGCTATCCCAAAGGTGCTTTTTTTCAGGAGGCAACTGAACTTTCTTGTTTTTTTCCAGTTGCCTCATGAAAAAGCACCTTTGGGACAACCATGATCTGGATGACTGAGAATCACTATGGACTTTTTTCTATATACTATGTTTCATACAATGAACTAAAGGGCCACCATCAGTGAGCTGTTGGACAGCATTACGTGGTCTGTTGTGTGGATGTTTGGATGGTTTAGGAATGGGGAATTTGTGGTAGGTGAGGGTGTGTTTGGGGATTGTTATGTGTGTTGGACCTGGTCTTTAAGTGTTAAGTGAATTTCGTTGTATGGGTATACTGTATATACATGTACAATGACAATAAAGTTATTATTATTATTATGTCAGAAATGATTTATTCTGTACATTGATTTGTCTATATATTTACTGATGCTTATATGTTGTTCCAATAGAAAGATTTTTGAAGGCACACTTTGATGCCTTTTCTTTAAAAAAAAAAAAAACCACTCATCATTCCTGTTACTGAAAAGTAATTAATTTTAATTATTACAGAATTGAAGGTTCTATATATAAACAAGGGCTAGGTAGGACTCCATTACAAGTTGATGAAGTCCACCTGTTGTTGTTTTTTCTTGACACATCCACTGGATTGGTTTGTAGTAGTACAACAACAACAGCAACAAAATGTAAACTACCTTGTCAAACTGAGATTGATTTGGAAGATATATGATTGGCTGCTAGGAAGCCATGCTTCAACTTTGCTTCAGCCAACAACTATGCTAGAAGCTGGAGGGGTGCTATGTTTAGTGAGGAAAATCCCTTAAGAGAGAAGAGAAGACTAGCCTTCCTAGAGACAAGAGGAAGAAGGATATTCTAACATTAGGCTCTTCAAATGGGGTTCTGTGGAATTCTGATGGGTTCACCCAAATGCAGCTAATTTTCTCTCACTAGAACTTTGCTTTTTGTTCATGGGCTCATGGAAACTTTTTTAAAAAGTAATATGGCCATGGCCTGAAAAAAAATTGAAAACTCTTGGTCTAGAATAAGCACACAGGCAGAAGGGATGAGGAATGAGTTGGAATAAGGCAAGAAATATTCTTCAATCACCCTGAGATCTCCTTTAATGTTTCTGATGTTATAATGTTTTGTGTCGTTTCATAAGTGACAGTATTAAACAATATCAAGAATAGTCTTGCACTTTTTCCTCTTCTGCTTAGAATATTTAATTCCTTCAAGGGTTCAGTTTCATAAAGTAATTTAGTAACTTATCTTTGTTATGGCTTACAAAAGCTAGAATAGACAAAATAAGTCTCTTAAAGGTTAATTTCAAAATCTTACAATAAAATCAAAATTCCAAATTTATCTGAACACTTAATAGTTTGTAACTTTTTAAGACGAAAATCTTATTTAACTTTTTGCTGTACATTTCAAATTCTTAAACTTGTAATTTTTTTCTTTTTGTTCAAAATTGCAGATAAACTCACCCAACAATGAGTTTTAAAACTTTTCAGTCTCTAATAGCTTTAATATGGTTAATAGGAAATTTCCAAAAGTGATTAGAAAGTGAGGTTTGTGAACTTAGTGTCCTTTAAAAGTCTCTGTCATGATTGTGAATAATATGGTTGTTGATCCCTTTGTCTCCTTGTAATCAAATCGTCAGAAAACTACTGTCATGAGGTCTCACAAGGAGCAATTGTCACAATGCATCTAATTAATTTGGCATGCTCTCCTTATCCAGAGGGGTTCCAAGGTACTGGTGTACTCACTGGTCTACCTTGGTCTTTGCTACAATCACCAGCTCCTCTTTCATGAAGACATTTTTAGTTCGGTATACCTCCACCAAAAGCCCTTTATTTTTCTTCTTAATTCTGAACAATCACCATTCTAATATATGTATTTAGTTTTAGCATTTTTATTATGCAACAATAATAAAAGTAATGTAAAAGCCTCCCACCAATTTCTATGAATGTTGGCATACCTCTTCAATCCCAAAGTTTGAATTTCCTAAATATTTCACCACATTCTGATAAAAATCATATGATGTATGCATATGTATATGCATATCTTTATTTATTTAGCCATGCTTCATAATAGGAAGTCACAAACCCGGTTTACAGCGTGTCAATCTGCTTCAGCACTGCAAGATAAAACAAGACATATTGCCCTGTTTTAAAATGTGAGGTCCTTGGTGCTCTCTGAACTTGGTTGTCTTCGTGCTAGCACTGGTGATGTTACCTAGTCGGGTAATGAAATGTCTGCAAGAAAGCTCAGAGAGCACCAAGGACCCCACAGTTCAAACTAGAGTTACAAATATTTTCTTTTGTCTGTACCTGATGAAATGTTCTTCAATAACAGGGACATGAGAGCATCTTTCAAAACATAGATGAAAACTGATCAGGGTGATTAGAGGTGGTAGGGCAGGGCAGGGTACTTTAAATAGATCAGAGGCAATGCAGAGTGTGTGTGTGACCCCCCTCCCATGACCATCATCTCCTAACTTTGTCTGAACTTTAAGCACGAAATAATACAAAAGCACAAAGAATCAAACTCAAAGATAACTTGAATTCATTCATCCGTGGGCTGCCTTGCATGCTTCTTTTCTAAGGAAGCCTTGAAGTTGTTCAAACTGCATCACTCACAGTGACTTTCTGGGTAATAGAGATAGATAAATCAAGAAAGCCATTGCTTCCATTCTTTGTTTCCTAAAACCTGTACTAACCATTCAAAGGCCTTCTTTCCAGTTCTGTTGGCAGATTACTTTGGCAGAGAATAGTCTGTTGCAGATACAGTGCAAGTTAATTTATGGAAGAGTTTAGCATTCCTTTTGGTTCTGATCCCAAGTTATAAAGAAAATAATTTAGTTTCATAAGATGTCCTTCATGGTCAGTGCTCACCAAACCCCTTTACATTACAGAAATGATTTAATTTTTATTTTTTAAAAAACCCACCAAGTTAGCCAAAACTGGCTAATTTAAAGGATAATGAAAACAATTAACTTTATCCAGCGATGTAAATTTGAGATGTTCTGAACAAAACACCATTGTGTAGACATAAATTCAACTACACTTCCAATTTTTATTGTTTCACAATTTAGCTTTTGCCGATGAAATTAGACTTATGACATCAAACTGTTTGGAAATAAATGGAGGAAGCTAAACTTCCAGGCTTTCTGAGCAGTAGCAGTTCGGAGAGGCTTTTGATTATTGTAAATGTGAATATTTTTTCCATCTTAAATACAGCACGGTATATGTCATATTAATGTATTTTGGATTGTTTGAAGTTTTCCAACTGTATACTTTTAAATGATGAAATATTTGATAATATTTCATCATTTAATATTTTAAAATAGGGCAATGTTTTGATTTTTAAAACATTGGGCAAAAATTATTTAGTCATGCTTGATAACAGTAAGGCACAAATCAAATTTATAGCACGCCAATCCACTTCAGTACCACAAGATAAACAGGAAACATTGTGCCATATTCCAAAATAAAAATCAGGAGATCTTTATATAGCCCTGACTAAAATGTGGAGTCCTTAGTGCTCTCTGAACTTTTGCTCTTCTGCTATCTTACAAAAGTCTATGGCTGTGGTGGTGAATCTATGGCACATGTGCCATAGGTGGCACGCAGAACCCTCTGCGGGCACGCAAGTCGTCACCCCAGCTCAGCTCCATCGTGCATGTGTGTGCGCCTCCCGCCGGCCAGCTGGTTTTCGGGTCTCTGCCGCACATGTGCATGTGCCGGGCGCAGGTGGGGAGTTGTGCATGCATGCGTGGGGCAGACACACATGGGGGGGTCTCATGTGCATGCATGCGTGGGGAGGGCATTATGGGTATGCACGCACACACACTTTTGTGTGCACTTTCGACACTTGGTGCCGAAAAGGTTAGCTATCACGGTCTATGGAAATACATTATGAAGGATAATCTTATGATGCTCTAATCAATAATAAGCCTACTCTACTCAATGGACTATAATTTCAAATAAATGAGTGCAGGATTGTAGCCTGATACTTTAACATTTCAAAATACAATATACTGCAGTACTAATCAGTTTTCTCCACTGATCTCAAACTCTATAGATCACATATTTTGTTGTGCTTTAAAATAGTTTTTTCTTGTTTTGTTTCTTTCTTTGCTCTCTTTCAGAAAAACAAAGATAAATGTATTTGTAATGCACTTCCCACTAAGGTGTGAGCCTAACAAAATATAAAGTTAGCAAGCAAAAGATAAACTTGTTCGGTTACAAATCTGTAAAGTATTAAATTTACACAAAATGGATAAGATCAATATATACTATTATTATTAAAATAATACTGTACAATTGTAAAAGGGTAGGCTCATTACTATTTAATTTTACCAATAAGATTTACAGTAAAAGAGACATGTTGAGCTCTCTATCCAAAGGTGAGCAGATGGACTGATCTTTTTTACATCCAAAGCTGGATTTGTGGACTGCACTAAGAGTTGTTAAAATCTTGAAGTATCTACATACTGGAACACTTCAACTGAAATGCCTCCTGAAAATATAAAAAATAATTCATAACAACCAGAAACAAATATTAATTTATATCACTATGAAAAGGAGCAGGATTATAACCTTACAGATATCTGGTGTTCATGTTTCTACTGAGGTCTTCTCACACACTTGTGTACTGTGAACTTAAACCAACTTTTGCCAAACTAGTAATCTCCAGATGTGGTGAATTCAACTCCAAAATTACTTAATTAGCATTAGGGCGCCAAATTGAGAAAGTTTATACTAGATAATATTTGTAATAGTTCTTATTTATTTATTTATTTATTTATTGGTTCGATTTATATGCCGCCCTTTTCCAGAGATTCAGGGTGGCTTACAATGCGTTAAGCAATAGCCTTCATACTTTTGTATATACCTGCTTAGTAGGGCTTTCGGGGCGCCCCAAGCAGTGTTCTTTTTTATACAAAGTCAGCTTATTGCCCCCACAAACCAGGTCCTCATTTTACCTACCTCGAAAGGATGGAAGGCTGAGTCAACCTTGAGCCTGGTGAGATTTGAACTTGCAGTAATTGCAGGCAGCTGGTGTTACTTAACAGTGCTATAGTCTGCTGCGCCACCAAGGCTCTTTCTTCACTTGTTTTGATCACTACTTATTTATACAGCTGAATTATAGATCCTAGCACTTGATGCTACCTTTTCAAAAGAAAGAATTTATGAATTCTTATAATATTTTTGAACTAAATGTTTTGTAACTTTTACTTTAATATCAAAATATCAACTTGAATTTGGCAGTGGTGATTTATCATCATTATGTTCAATTTACATATGTGCGTATATTCTGCACAAGCTCCCATTACCCATTGATTATCACAATACTTAGGAAAGAATTCTACACATTTGTGTTTCTTTCCCACACACGATTCCTTTGTTTTTTTTTAATGTTTCTGCTCTGCATATATTAGGCTTTGAACTGCATTATAAATAGCAAATCTCTCTGATAACTCCAGGAGTAAACTCCCCCTTCTCTTCTCCCTGTGTTATACTAATAGATTACATAAATGCAAGCCATTGCTAATAATCCCTAAATAAACCTTCTTCTACTTCAGATTCACTGTAATCCATCTCTTATGTCAGATGAACTGTGGTACTTATCTTCCTTGCTGCAAAAGCTGTAATGCTTTTCCTTATTCATCTCTCATACACAGTAATCCTTTCACCTCAACTTTACAGATTTCTAATTTAAATGTAAAATATTCATGGCAGAGAAAGGAACCCTAAACAACAGCTCTTGTGGCTAATACTGGGGATTTTGACATTATCTTTACCTAATCTTTTTAATAAAATAAAAATAAAAAAAACCAACAGGTTACTTAGTGTTTTTAGCCATGATAATTATCTGAATTCCCATAAGGAAATAACTTTAGTAATACCTTGTTACTCTCCGGAAGATGTCTCTGCAGAATTATTTTAAAGACATTTTTATGTTTGTTGTTTTGTTATTACAACATGTTACACTGCGTTAAAAGCTTCCTTTCCATTAGGATTTTTATTCCATTTTATTACTGCCACGTACAGAATTTACATTATGTAACAGTCCTGATCTGGGACTGCTTTCAAGAGTCTCAGGCAGGACATGGTCTTTTCAGTTGGGTTTTTCTTCATCTCCTCCTCCTCCTTTCCTTCCTCCTCCTCTCCCTCCCCCTTTTTTTAAAAAAAAAAAAAAAAAAAAAAAAGCTTAATTTTGAATTACTGTAGGCCCATCCATTTTTGTAAATTCATCTTCCCCAATATTATTTTTTACAGACTTCGTTTTTCAAGTTTGTAAATGGTAAATCACGATTTCTCATCCAAAATACTACAAGCAATGATTTTGTAAAATAAATGGATTTGGGCAAGGTGGAGATTGCCTTAAAACAGAGGTCCTCAAACTTGGCAGCTTTAAGACTTGTGGACTTGTGGACTATGCTGGCTGGAGAATTCTGGGAGTTGAAGTCCACAAGTCTTAAAGCTGCCAAGTTTGAGGACCTCTGCCTTAAAGTTTTGACTTCTGGTGACTATTTGGCCTGAGAGGGTGGCCAAGATGTCCAGCTGGTTTCATGCTTAAGGCAGGATTAGAACTCATTATATTTCCCACTTTCTGCTCCGGTGCCTTTATCCACTACACCAAACTGTCTCTCAAATGGAATTTAAGATGACTCTGAAAAGAAAAGGTAGGGTGTTTTATTCTCTATCCAAAACTATTATAAATAAAGCACACCTTTTTGATATTTAATAATAAAGTATAGCTGTTTTAAATATTTTAAAGGAAATAAATATTTTAATATTTTAAAGGAAATAAATATTTAAAAAGAAATAATTATTTGGTGTATAACTTATGAGGAAAGTGCAAACAGCTGGTCAAGTGAGTTTAAAACAAGTTTCTATAAAAAAGTAGGAATGGGCTGCTGGGCACAGTTACTATTGCAGAACCTACTTTCTTAATGAGTCTATAAAATGGGACAGAATAATTGTAATCATTATAGACACAATTGTGGAATCAGGTTGGTGCCTTGTTTTGTGACCACATAGTTAAGATTTAACCCATAACATAAATTTCTCCATCAGTTCAGGATGGAAGGTCTCTCTTTATTTTTATTACGTTTGATCACTACCAATTTCATAGAAATATTTCTAATGATTGTTTTAATTGCCTGCATGACTTTATTCCCAATTATCTATTGGGGAGTTGCAAGGGAACTAGCAGTCTATAAATAAATTAAAATAAAATAAATAAAATATTTGCAGGCAAGTTTAAATAATACACTGTACATCACTATAGTACTATGACTTATTAAAAGATTATGTAAACCAATGTCATGAATATAGGAATGATCCTGACTCCTAAGAATAGATGCTCTCATAGGCAGTATAGCAGTATCAATGCCTACCTTTAAAATAATATAATGATGTTATATAATCCATTGTATAGAGAGCTTAAAAAAATCCTATACATTAATTATATTATAATTTATGGTATAATAATATACTATAAATACTACACTATAATACAAATTAGCTATAATTTTATACTATAATCTAAAATAGCAAAATGCTTTCCTTATTTAATGTTCACTAGCTTTATCTTGGTTTTCTATGGAGAGTTATTGTCTAGAAATGAAGTCACACTAGTCATATTTCCAAATATGAATCAGATAAACAATGGCACTTTTACTTGTAAATGATTTGTTTATTTACATGGAGTAAATTGCTATTGAATTTAATTGGACTTGAGTAATGACTAGGCAGACAACTGCACATTTTTTTTAAAAAAAAATCTATCTCGATTTCATGCTAGAAATAAAATGTATGACTTACCTAGTTTTGATCTGAAATATACTTTATTTTCAATAGTATTATACATTGTAGAATGGAATAACACTTTTATGTAAGATTTATTTTTTATTTGACAGTATTCAAAGTTTCTAATCTAATTATCCCTTTTAAAGATAAATATTTTTCAAGTCAGAGGATATTTTTCCAACAATTAACTTGTTACCTTCAAAAAATGTTGAACCCTTCTTAGGTTATCATTTTCTCCTTTTGAAATTCAGAAACCAAATTGCGTTCTGTAGTACAAATGAGGCATTGTCAGCGGTTAGCGGAATAATAATTGTAAAGCCTCCTAATCTTAGATATATTCCTAGGTAACTACATTTACCTTCTTCTGTATTGTCTATGTAACCAAAAAGACATTAACCTCCTTTTACCCAATATTATCCTGTTCTTGTGTCACCATCCACTTCTCTTAGATGCATCTTAACTAACTATCTCTAATCTTCAATTTTTTCTTTCTTTCGTGCAACTCTTTCGTGCAATTCATTTGAAAGGACATTGGATAATTTTGTAATCCACATAATGCTGCTTTTTAAATCTGAGGTCCCACTTTATTGTTTCCTATTCTTTGCGTATGGATTACGAATGAATTTATAAAATGTTTTGCTTTTTTAAGCTTTCCTCTCTTAGAAACAATCTAACAGTTGCTCAAATCATATTATCTGAAATGAGCAACCTATATTACATTAATATGGCTACATTTTTTCTAATGAATTATACCATACGTGGTCTTATATTGTTAATTATCGAATACTATATCAACATATCAATGCAATACATTTCTAACATGGAAAAAATATCATTCATTCTCAATTTTAGGCAAAAATGTTAAGCCTAAGAGTACCAATGATAATTTTTTTCTCCTATATTTGGAATTAAATACTCAGACAAATGAATCCAAGAAAAGTATCTTTGAATCTAACTGCAAATTATTATACACTAGTCTACGTGTCAGTCTTTACCTGGGAAGAAAATGAGATTTTTGCAACAGCAAATGCTCTGCTTAAAATGACATCTTCATCTTGACTGCACTCAAATAGCTTCCAAATAATACATTTTTCTTCAGATGAGTCATTATGGAGATCCTGCAGAGCTTGTGTATTCAAACACATGATGCTCCATTCAAAGTTTCATCTTGATCGGAAATGTGTATGTGTGTGTGTGTATACCTGTATATATATATATATATATATATGTATATATGTCATGCCACTATTTAAGTTTTGAGAAATACTAATTATGCTATGTATCAGCTTCTTTAAAGCTTTCTTTTTATAAGGAAACATTTTTTTAAGTTTTTGTCACTTTTTTGATTAGATATCTTATTTTGAATCACTATGCTGCAATACTTCCTATTTTCTACAATTTAGACTTAGACTTGGAATAACTTTATTGTCAGTTTAAAGGTACACTAATCGGCATACATTAAAATGAAAGTTCGCTGTATACAGCTCTCAAAGATTCACCACCTGCAATATACACTATACATAAACAAACAAATAATAAATAAGGATGTACCCACATATATTATATGACACAGAGAAACAATGCAGTTTAGTTTGGATGTATACATGTAATCTTCTCGGCTGTCCTTATCACTCTCTGTATGGACCTTCTATCTGAGGCACTGCTACAGTGGTGGGTTGCCCCTGGTTTGCACTGGTTCTATAGAACCGGTAGTAAAACCGGCGGGAGGCTCCGCCCACCGACCCCGACATCATCAAAATGCTTCTGCACATGTGCAGAAGCTTCTGCGCTTGTGCAGAAGAGTGCGTGCGCACATGAGCGAAGCAGGTGCGCGCACGCAGCTCCGCTGCAAACTGGTAGTAAAGGTAAGTAGAACCCACCCTGCACTACTACCACCAAACCAAACAGTTTGATGAACAGCGATGCAGTTTGTTAAAACACTCTCAATCGTGCCTCTGTAAAAAGTGGCCAGGACAGAAAGAGAAAGATGTGCTCTCCTTATCCGATGTAGGAAATGCAGACGTTTGCTTGCACATTTCACTAAGGATGACGTGTGGAGAGACCACACTTTGCTTTCATATATCATTTTGAAACAATACTGAGCTTTTCAGCATTTCGATTCAATTATTGAGGTGTTCTGAGGAGTACATAGGAGGGTACATTTAGCCCTTGTTTGCAACCCTTTAAAGCAGCCGCATCTGTCCCATTATGTATGATTGTAATCCAGTGGTGGGCTGCTGGCAGTTTGGACCATTTCAGGTGAACCGGTAGTTGTGACCTGAGGGTGGGCGGGCCCGCCCAGGCGCTATGCTGTCCTATTTAGCCACATTTTTTAAGCTGCGTACATGCGTGCAAATGTGCGCACAAGCAAAGTGCATGCACAGAAGGCCGCGCACGCTCATATTTTCAGTGCTGGGGTGAACTGGTTGTTAACTCATGTGCCGTCCACCTCTATTGTAATCCCTAAAACAACCTAGGAACATTCTAGATATAAGTGTGTGGTATATTATTAGAACTAAAGTGACAAGGACATTGTGTGGCACCTATAACACATTTCCAGCTTCACTTCCATAAAAGAATACAAATGTCAGCTAATTCCTAAATAATAAAGACCTGCCTGTGCCACATTTTAAATCACCCTCAGATTAGGGATGATAATTGAAGCCCATAAGAAAAGAAAAAAGAGAAGTACACTACATTTGATAAAAAGCTACATGGATTTGTCAGCCGTTACTAGTTTCTCTGCACTTCTAGTTTGCATTCCATAAGATCATTCCAATTTATTTATCTGGCATATTTATAAGCCTCCCCAATTAACCCAGGCTTTGAGAGGCAAATAACACAACTGGTAAATACAATTAAAACTATTTTAAAAATGCAAACAAAGAAACAAAAAAATGTGGTCTGTAGTTTATTCCATTTCCGATATATGGCTGCCTTTCAAACGAATGTGCTGCCTTTCAAATGAATCTTAAATACTAGCTTGTTCTATGCAATGTATCAGCAACAGAACACAGATTCTGCCTGTTGATAATTTCTCCATGTAGTTATCTAGAAGTCAATATAAAAAGAGTCTCCCTCACCTATGAAGAAATTCCGCAATAAAGAGTCTGACATAAGGAGAAATAACAGGCAAACACTTTAAGCAGAAGGAGTTACATTTTAATCAGGATTGGATCTGGTCCTCAAGTTGAGCCCAAAATAAAACATTTTCTTCCTTGCATGAATTAACTGAGTCTACTGGATTGCATTTCATTCTATATGTAGTCTAATTGGCCTATAAAGGTATCAACAGCAATAGAAGTTAGACTTATATACTGCTTC